AGTACGCGCACATCTTCGTGTAGCTGCAAGCTCTAAATACAGATTGATGGTATCTTCTTACTCGGAACCCCGGCGAAATTTGTTTGGAGAATCAATGTTAGGTACCGTAAAGAAAACTGTATGAGGAAAATGAATTTTCTTTGAATAGTTTATAGTTTAGTCTTTAGTGTTATAACTTTTGCCATGCAAATCTAAGTAACATCAAATTAAATATCTAAACAGTATGTTAAGTAAAACTGCGTCACATGATTTCTGATGACGTTTGAAGACATACGTTAAAATTGAATCACTTACGATTAGAACCACAAATGAATACAGGACTACGATTTCTTCGTACAACTTTATTCAACATACTTACGATTCTGTAACAAGAGAACTTTATTCATGGCTGCATTCGTTAGGGACGAATTTAGGTATCTGACCCAATAATGTAGTACACCTGGAAGTAGTAAGGTGACGCGATCGTGGGCTCGTACGTTATTAATATATACGGCGGTGCATCGAGGCCTTGACCTGGACTTCAGCGCGCCCTCGGCCCCATCTCCACCCCCGCCCACAGAAATAAACAAGTTTCACTAAAAATGCATTGCATAGCGTTTTAACCCCGGATTATTTCATTAAGCCATCTCCCTCTTTGACCTTTTCAAAATGTGACTTACGTAGCCACAAAACGGGTGTGACGCAACCCTTTGTTTGGATATTTTATGTGTGGCATCCATCTGCATATAGATCAGACAAGACATATGTATATTAGAGTAGTGATACCTCAGATTTTAAGGTCTATTAACATAACATAACATAACATCACGCCTTTTATTCCCGAAGGGGTAGGCAGAGGTGCACATTATGCTACTGTACAATGTAACACCCACTTTTCACTATTTATGTTATGAGTCCCATGTAATAGGGGGTGAGCCTATTGCCATATACCAGGCACAATTCCAGACTCCGTGCTACTACTGAGATTTATTGAAAAAAACCCCGTAATACTTTGCACGACCCGGGATTCGAACCCGAGACCCCTTGCCCGGCAGTCGCACTTGCGACCACTCGGCCAACGAGGCAGTTGGCCTATTATAAGGTCTATTGAATATAGAATAAACAGTCAATGCGACAGAAATATAAAAAAACTATCTCGATAAAGTACCTAAAATTCTAAAAATAAAAAACTTCATTCATTATGTAAACAATAAAGGCCTATTTCTTTGTTCATTCGGACATAATTAAAATATTTTCAAATAGCTCAAACACTTCTATCAGGGAGTAAAAAAAGTGTTTTGTGGCCGCTATGAATTTTAATGTAGGTCGTAACTCTCTCCTTGAATTCTACTTTCAATGTTTTATTTTATATTAGCTACATTTTTGGTCTTCATCTATTATTTACGGAAGGATTTCAAAGGAAATTTGTAACGGGTTATATGAAGTTACTTTTTTACGCATGTTTGCCTTACATTCATAGGTATATAAAGCAGTAGGTTGATTCCATTTAATTTAGCGACTTAACTTTAACAATTTCCAATTTTTCAACATTATAATATTATTATTTGAAAATATTGGTATTTAGGATTTGTTAGTTCTACCTTTTTTATTCAGCCAATTCAGTGTTAAACTAAAATTACTACAAAAGTAGTTATAATCTGAAGAAAATCCACGTGTAAACTATTGACCTGACTCAACTCAACTACATATAACAGACAATGTTTAAGATACCTACGTAATATATTAAGTACCTACGTAACTAATAGATAACTCACAAGAATTTCCATAATATAAGTAAAGTTACATGCAAAACTATGTTCTACGTGTAGTTCAATAATGATAAAATTCGTTTGCCTTCACTAAACTTCAGTTACGAGTCTGTAGTTAAACTTCAATTACAATTTGAATACCCGACCGCTGATTAATGAGGGAAACTAGAACAATTATTGAGTTGTGAATTTAGTTCTTAGTTTATCTACAAGTGAAACTCACATCGAATGTGTTTTATACCTCTACTAGCTTTTACCCGCAGCTTCGCTCGCGTCACAAATGGATAAAAAGTAGCCTATGTGATATATACCAATACACACAGCGCCATCTATACCAATACTTTTGTTTTCTCTCGGGAATATCAAATTTTTCCGGGATAAAAGTACCCTATTATTTAATCCAGACTTCTAACTTTACGTCTGCAAAATTTCAAAGCAATCGGTCTAGTAGTTACGGCGTGAAGGCGGAACAAACAAACAAACTCACTTTCCGATTTATAATATAAGTAAGGATATCTGTGTGAATGCCTAGTTCGAGTTTGTTTTACGTTAACGCGATCGACACGTTTATGACGTTTAACCTTCTGATTGGTTGGTTATCTTGGAATAGACCAATCAGAGCGCCCAACGTCATAAACGCGTCGATTGCGTTAAAGTAAAACATATTCACTCTAGACATTCAGTTTACTCAACCAAACTAGAGAATTGAAGTTTGTTTCACTACCGAGTTGAACAGATGGAGTTTTGATTTTCCTGTTGCAGCGGTATTTTTAACTAGTGTCTGTTTTAGACCATAATATTCTTGTTTATCGATTGGTTTAAAGCTGTAAGATTTTGAATAGCATATTAAGTATATTTGGATTTATGATGTTCTAAGTGATTTTGCAGACTCTCCTACACTATAGCAAAATATTACGTTATTCTAAGCGCTCAGCTTGTAACTAAATCAATGTCAAAGATACTTTGTGTTATGTCTCGTATCTATATATCGTACATAACAAAAACAAAAAGTGACAAAAGCGAATGACCTCTATGTATCAAAAGTACGTACAACGTTTGACTCACCGTTCGGGGAATAGCGACCGTCCCATGTTATGGTATTTTATTAATTTGACGTAAACACATTTACATCACAAAGTAAGTGCTGCCCTCTACTATCAAAAATAGACCTTTCAACTCTGAATGTAGGCCACATTCATATCAAATACATCAAAGGCATTTTTGGTCAAAAATAAGGAGCAAACATAACGTGCGTGTGGCATAGCCCTTTCGTCTGTAATTATAGCGGTGAAAATTGTAGAATATTCCCGAAATAGTTTTAGGCCTCGATTTACAAATGGAGGCTCCGACCATTCAGCTTTGTGACATGAATTGGATCGTAGCCTGTTACGTATTTCAGGCACTAGTAGAATGATTTTGTTGGTGACCGAAATAAAAATACACATCAAAGGTTTACATCGAAATATCGATTGAGGAACGCCTGCGAAGGCTATGTTTAGACCACTTTTTATATGACAGGCATTACCCCAACGTGTGAACATAAATAATCACTTAAAATAATGAGTTTTCAATAAAATATTAAGGGGAAAAGGCTAGACGATGTATCGATTTTTATTTAATTTGATTTCTTCGTATGAATAATTTAATGAGAACTATAAAATAATGTTGTATAGGAGTGGAAAGGCTTGTATGGGACGGTAATGGGTGGTTTGTTTATTGTAATTAAAACTACTAAATGACGATGTAAATAGGCGAGACAAGTTCTGAACTGTTTTGTAGTTTATATGTGTTGACCGCTACCTAGTAACACATTGCTTCTTTAATATAAGATTTTCCTATATATATTTTGTATCGAATTAAACCAAATTGATACCCGAGCGTAAGGCGCGTCGCGTTCCGCGCGCACCTCAAAGAGCCATCAGACCACCACAGATGGGGCCCAACAGGGCCGATGCCGATTCGGAGTCGCGGAGAACCTAATGGGTAACCGGGGCTCCGGCTCGACGTGCAGGAGAAGGAACGGGGTGGTTTTTAGTCAGTAAGAGTCTGACACTCCCTCCATTGGAGCAGTCATTCGATGATTTTCCCCCTTTAAAAAAAAAACAAAATTGATATTAATTAAAAAACTATAGTCTTACCTATGCCTTAAAATGTGACATTAATAACAACCACTACATATTTCAACTCGATTACAAATTAAAAAACCACCCACTATCCGTCCTTGACAACAAACGTCCAATAAAATATCCCAAATCTTATCTATTATTCCTAAATATATTTACTATTCCGTATACTATACAAGCTAGAAAGGGGTACTTCTGACCGAAATATACGCCAGTTTCTAAGATTTAGGCGACCTGCAAACGAAACTATAGACCGGACCGTGGAAATACAAAGGTGGAAATGTGTAAACCGAACTTATTTTACCGCTTAGTCGTAAAACGGCACAATACTGAACCCGTTTCGTGTTGGCCGCTGTGAATTTGGAAGCAACTGTGATTTCCTGACCAGCGACGTACGAGTCTTATTTTGTACCCTTTGTATGGACAGCAATGAAGTTGTAACACGCAACGAGACTGGTATTATTGTGGTCAGATGAAGATCTAAACTTTGTTGTGGTTTCTCTTTATGCTTTATCCAGGTTATGTATGATCTGGTTTTACAGATGTATGTTTTTATTGGTGATAGTTTTGTAATGAAGGTAATACGTACCTACAAATTGCATTTATTACAAAGCTGTTAAAAGTGAAGGGTAATAAGTCTAAATTTCAAAATGAATTATAAAAAAAAATTAGTAATTTTTCTATGTATCTACTAATTTATGCGATTAAAGAGGTTCAATATCCATTAAGAACTATACACTGGCTAATTAAAGTTCAAAAAACGTGGAAGCCGTATAAATTACAGAAAAAAAAAACGAAATAAGAATAAAGCATTTTGTTTATTATTTGGACCGCTAACAGCCAGTTCTCGTGAAATTATTTTAAATAAAGTCTTGACCATTAAGGTTTTATATTAATGTAATTTGGGGCATTATATAAAAAATTACAAAAAAATTACAGAGACTTAGACTCTCTGATAAGTCAGATCCTACTAAACTATGATGTCCAACACACCTACCAAGGAAGCACAAATCCTTTAACTCTTCAAGATCGACCTACCTTAACTTGTTAATCGTAAACTAAACCTTAATTTATACACAGTAAAGGTGATAGTGATGTAATTTTCACAACATTGCTTTGTTTGTTACAGGTGTAGGAGGGCTCCAAAGGTCGTGTAACATGGTACGTCATTACTTAGGCTTTATTGCCTGGCTATTTATTGTAGCGTTTCCACTATTATCAACCATTTACGTCACATTATTATACGTTTATTTCAGACACGATCTTCTGTACTGTTGACTATGTAGTGTAATGATAAATGAAGGATTTATTTAAATGTGATAAAGTTGAAATTACATATTATTATTAAGTTTTTATATGTGTTCAATTCTTGCTATGAATGTTGAAAAAATGGATAGTTTTTGCAAATTGGTGTGATTGTTTAAAACTATTAACGTAGCTTAACAAGTTAATATGTCTTTATAAATTTGGACATATGCTACGACTTTCTATGTATGTATATGAAAGCTAGATAACGGCTTAAACAAACTTCAGCCACCAAAACTTTTGTTACAGATTCTAAAAAACGTAAATACGAAGAGAAAATGAAAATTAACTATACAGATACATTTCTTCTTAAAAAGAGCTAAACCTGTGATTCATGCAATGGCTTGTAACCTAGAAATGACGTGAATATTGTGGCGGGTATGTGTTAGCTTATTATGGGAGCCGCATGGAGTCGCGTGCGCAGATGAGTCACACGCTGCCGACCAAGCATCGCCCGGAGGCAACCTACAGGAGTTGCTCGCAATCCCTGCCGCTTGACATTCTGTAAGTACATACATATTTTACTTTTTTATTTTAAATACATACAACAGTAAATCTCAAGATATTTTAGGTGCATATTCAGACCATGACACTGCACTTTTGTACTATATAAACCCTTTCCATAAAAAGACATTGACGCACTACCGAGTTCGAAGAACCCATTGAAGAATAATAAATTAATAAAATCGATATATACAATTCATCGATTTATTCGTCAACAGTTTTGTTAAGTTCCGCCTTCTTTCTTCTATAAAATTATAGAATAGCAGGAATCCATATTCAAATTGCGGCATGTCTATTATAATAACTATCGTGAGACATACTAAATTAATTAAAAATCGCGGGTTACTCACGTGAATATACTGAGAAAAGCTCTACTAGTTTCGCGCGACATCGCTGCGACCGGGCACGCTGCTCATGAGGAAGAAGCCTTCTGCGGTTCGAAACTAGTAGAGCTTTTCTCAGTATATTCACGTGAGTAACCCGCGATTTTAGTTAATTTGGCATGTCTATTGTTACGTATAAACTTAAAATGGCGATTCACTGAAAAATAAGTGTAGAACGAACCTACTAATAATAAATTTCCTTCAGCAAGGTGGAAACTCCTTTGAGGCCCTGATTACTACCTTTTGCCTTACTCTATTTAAAAATAGCAAACCAATTTAGGTAAACACCGGAGGAAGGTAGAAATTAAGACTTAAAACTCGACGCCCATTAGTTAAATAAGGAAAACCTCTGTTGTACTGAAATAGGTACATTCTTGACTTTGTGCTAATTTATTTATTTCATTAGCGAAGGAAAGATTTTTGTAATAATTCAATTAGATTTGTTACGAACGTTAAGGTCCAATTTCAGTTAATTAACTTTTATATTTCTGGGAGTAATTACACAACTAAAAGTCTGTTTGTTTGATTGAAATGCCGCAAGTATAACTGCAAATATTATGGTCCCTAATTCAATATTTTTACCTAAAGAAACTGGCAATGGCTGATCAATCGGCTATCAATTAACGTCTATGTAAATTATTAGGTGAACTTGATTTTTACAAATACCACTAGCTGTCACCCGCGACTCCGTGTAGAATACGAATCTATGTCCTATCACCTAAGTCAGCCCATACCCTGCCCTGCCTGTATACCAAATTTCACCAAATCTATTCAATACTTTCAGAGTGATTGACGGACAAACATCCAAACAAAGAAGCTTTCACATTTATAATATTAGTGAGGCAGACTTGATATTTAATTTTCTTAATAAGACATACGTATTAAACATTTTATCTTAAAGCTCTCTTCAACCAAAATACATACATACTTTTGTATGAAAGTGCCCGTAGTTCTTACTAAAACTATTTTTCTTTATTGCCCCAAGAAACGGTCAATGTCAAAGTCAATGTTGTCTCGAACCTGAAAAAAGAAATTGCGGAGTATAGCAACTGTCTAGTTATATGTTGTTATCTAATTTAGTAAATGTCACAAAAGACTGAGTAACGTTATTACTGCTGCCGCACGTACGAAGAGACCATCTTTGGCATAAACAGCAGCTTGTATTGTTATATTTATTATCTGTTTTATTTAACACTTATATATTATATACTGTATATAAACTTTTTACTCGAAGTCTTGCTCGTGCTTTTTAACAGTATTCCTAACTATATCGTACAGGCAAAATGTCTAAAAGATTGCTTGAGCAAATGAAATGTATGTAGGAAACCAACAAACTTACCTTTATAATGGGACATGTATAATTTTCTTAGGATATACCTAAACGTAATTAAGTCCTAAAAATGTATTACACATAGTTTAAATCAAAGTTTCGTTCTTCTTCCATCATCTTTTTATGAAGTTTGACGATCATTAGGTAAAGAGTCTTTAAGAACTGTAAATTAAGATAAGATGGTGCAGCTCTTAAGATGTCTCTTATTTTGACCTTGAATTATTAAAATGACTAGATATCTGAATTTATACATTTATTAAAATTGTGGGTTACTCATGTATGTATGACGATGTTGAGCAGTTCACTGCCGCCGCGACCGCGCACGCTGCTCATGAGGAAGAACCCCTCTGTGGTTCGAAACTAGTAGAGCTTTGCTCAGTATATTCACGTGAGTAACCCGCGTTTTTAGTTAATTTAGTATGTCTCACGATTTATTATAAAAACAGATAAAATACTAAATATATTTACGCTATTGTTTCCTAACACTAGTATTGTTTAACAGATGGTTGCCGCGGTCGTCGTTCCGGCCGGCGGAGGGCGAGCTGGCAGACTGTGTGCTGGTGGTGGGGGTGTCGCGGCCCAAGCTTGCGGCCGCGCTACTCTCCGTCACGCTGCTCTCGCTGTTCCTCACCTTCCATGTGCTGTATGACAGCGCGTTGTACAGCATACAGGTATGATGATAGTCCAAGTGTTTGTTTCATTTGTGTGGAGTCTATTGGCAGTTTTGAGACTTCATGTGTGTAATGTGGAGATTTTGGCAAATACGCAAAAGAATTTTACCGTCCAATAATGTAGTAGGCTATGTTGATGCTGTAGTTAAGTTAGTATAATAATGATCGAGTAAATCCATCGTAACTCGTTAAGAAAGACTTATTGATATGCTGTTAGTACCGTTAATATTTGAAGGCACCAATTCCATAATACTAACCACAACAGATGAAGCACATTATTATTGATGCAATGTGTCACACTGGCCGCATTATGAAATGATGACAAAAGCTAGTCATACAGCATTATTAATATCATATTACCCGAAAGTATGTCATAATACCAACACCCATTATAATATTATGCCTTATTTCATAATACCAACTATTTTGAACGAGTTTCCACTCCATGCTCATTAAACTATAATAAATGTATGAAGGAGGACATAATAATATATTATCTCAACGTGTTCACGTTTCACAGGCTAACACGTTTCGTTGGCCTTGACACCAGTATACTGCAGTGACCATAAACATATAAATTGCTCTTTTGCACGATATATATACGTACTTTTTCCGACCGCGCTTTGTTGGGTTAGGTTACTAAAACTTTTATACATACTCGTATAAGCTATTAAAATCTCATTTTATTACTTAACTAGAAACGTTTAAATGAATCATGAAAAGTTTTATTTGTTGGTGGAACGAAATGCTATAAATATAGTTCTATAGTTGCTATGTTTTCGTATCAACTTTGACATAAAAACAACATAAACAAAGACTATAATATATTCGTACCCGATACGCCGTCGGAACAATACGCCCCTTCGTACTTTAAGCCCGTAACGTCACACTATAAATCGTACGTAGGAACACGCTTAGCGTATCGAATGTAGTAAGCTTCCAACCCTTTCGGCTAAGCGGCTTATTTTCCTCAAGCCGGCCTGACTTCCGCTGTGCGTGCCTTGCCGAACCTCGAGGCGTGGTTGCCAAGCCCATGGGCATCACTGCCTGACCCCATAAAAAGGTTAAACAGAAGGCACATTGCATACACTGAGAGAAAGTGAAAACAAGACCTCTATATGGACCAGGCTCATTGTGGATTTTTTTCGAAAGTTCTGTCTCTGAAACTGATTGTAAAATATTATTACGTGACATGTTCTTTAGCGGCCTTGCTATCGTCAGAAATGAATATTGGCAAGTTGATAACAATAACTGTGTTTATTCTTTTAACACTCATCATGTTTTCAACTACGGATTTTTATAATGACACGGTATCAACTAAGCCCCACATTAATATAACCTTATATATACATAAGATTAAAAATGCTGATGTTGTGTTCGTTATATGTCTGCAACAAATCCCCATTACAAATTCCTGTAGGCATATATTCAGTAGGTTTTCTGTATCATCCTATTTTGTTCCAACTTGTAATCATAATTAATGTTCTGAGCCGTTCTCCACAGATAACATAACACCGCCCTTTTTATGACACCCTTGTTTTACAATGTAACCGGGTTTTACGACATCAACAAGTAGGTGGAAGTTACGAGTCGAAAGTATATACACCCTATAGATATATAACCTATATATATACGGTTATGCCGGAAGGGAGAATGTAAAATTTTTGTCACATAAAATTTTAAGGAAAAATTTGACTGTGGACGAGTATGTTTTTTTTATTATATATGTATGTACGTGTAATATGCTACGGGGTAACAGAGGCTTGTATGAATAATAACTCATTCGGAATTTGTTTAAAACATTTTTTTTTCATAACAATTTATTTTGTTTACGTGAGTATATTTCGAGCCTTTAAATTTTTATATTCTGTAATGAGAATATAAATATTATAGTATATATAATAACTATATTTGCTGATATTAGCTAATAGGCCTGCTACCTATTATGTAAAAATAGTTAAAAGCGTGATAAGCCAAAAGGTACGCAAAAGCCTGTGTTTCAAAATATACCGTGATCGTTTATTTTCTTTTTCAGCTACTTCTAAATATTGATTATATCATTACTAGTGCAGACAAATAACATCTATAGGCAAATTGCTTGTCCCATTTCCTTTTCTATTTAAAATTCCTTTAAACAAATCTCAAAGAAAGATTAAAACAAATAACTAGATAGATACAACCACAACCAGAATATAAGACACTGGCACGTTTAATTGAATCAACCCGCTCAAACGTCCAATATAGCAAAGCGTGTTACGTCACCGTTTAGCACTACGTTCTACGTTTTGCATTCAAATATATCAAGCTAGGGCAATGCCCTTTTGACAGTGACAGTTGATTTGAGTAGTTCATTCATTTTTTAAATACAGAGTGAATTTTGGTGTTACGATACTTTTTGGTACTGATCAGTGTTTCTAATGATCTGATATTGTAGTTTATTTTTTAATTACTTTAAGGGTAGGGTAAAGGTAGTTTAGCCTTTAAAATAATTAAAACTACCCTATTCCGTAATCGTACGTAACGAGATGAGAATTAACAAAAACTTACAAGTTACTCACGTAAATATACTGAGAAAAGCTCTACTGGTTTCGAGTAACAAAAGGACACATCCTCATGAGTAGCGTGCGCGATTGCAGCGATGTCACGCAGTGTACTGATTATATTTATGGACATTATTTTATGGACTAGACTTATTTTTATAACACATAACATAACATAACATCACGCTTGCCTTCCCCGAAGGGGTGGGCAGAGGTGCACATTACGGCACTTAATGCCATTGTACAACGTAACACCCACCATGTAATAGGGGGTGAGCCTATTGCCATATATCGGGCACTATTCCAGACGTCGTGCTACTACTGGGATTTAAAAGTAAACCAGTAATACTTTGCCCGACCGGATATCGAAACCGAGACCCCTTACCCGGCAGTCGCACTTCCGACCACTCGGCCAATGAGGCTAGGCTAGTCTTACTTATTTTTATCTAAATTAATAACCAAAAAAACTGAACCGAACTTTAAGTTCTTCAATCCAAATATGAATAAGTGGTTATACATTTTTATACATATACATTTTATTGCTCTAGTAAGACTATTGATTCAAGAAATATAATTATTAAAACAGTAATTCGTGGATAGCAAAGATAAAATGATTAACATTCGAATCATCTTACGTTTATCTTGCGAAGCATTTATTAAATTCATTACTTAAGCTTTCTCGTTAATAATAATTTATTTTGTAACTCAATTCATGTGAGTAAGATTAGTTCAACAGTTTATTTAATAATGTTAATTTATATCTCTTACTATGTTCCATCTGTTACACTTAATTATAATAAAGATTATTTTATTACTCTCATTGCAAAATAGTCATTTTCCATCCAAGAAGTTTGGACACTTAATGAAAAAAGTCGATTCACCTAATTGCCAAGTGTGTAATAAAGTTGATGACGTCCAACATTTGCTGATGGAATGCCAAAAAAATAGTAAAGAGAGAGAGATAGTGATGCAAGAACTAAAGGTTAGAAGATATGATGTCGGGGCTTTCGTTAAAATATTATCTGTACCAAGTTCAAAAGAAGCGGAACTTATTTATGAAATGGTTGGTGCAGCACTATCCCCCTCGCTTACACAGGAATAGGTAAAGTAAATTAGCAATAAGTGTATAATTATAATTAAATGTAGTTAGTTAAGTTAGATTAGGGTATGATGAGGCTGGCATACCTTTGTAAGGGAAAAGCCTCTAAATAAATAAAGATAAAAAAAAAAAAAAAAAAAAATATTCTCTAACTTAATAACAGAGAGTCGTGATTTAAAAGCCAGATGATTAAACTCTTAAGAATATAATATGGTTCAGTAATTAGTTATATATCATCACCCATCACCATTATCAGCTCTTCTTAGTAGATAATTGAAAAATATTGAATCAAAATGTTTTCTTTCTTTTCAATTCAATTTCAATTTCAATTGTATATTCACATTTAAATTGCTATATGTTTTCCTGATGAGTAAGTGTTTAACTGCTATTAAAACGAATAACGTCACTTTAAACTACCACCATGGAGCCGCGGATGACTTAACGGGTTGCCGGGGCTCCGGCTCGAACAGCCATATGTGGGAACGGGATGGTTTTTCATCAGAGTTTTTAGTAAGAGTCTGATACTCCCTCTCTCCTCACCCAAGGCCCCCTCAAAAAAATACTACCGCCATCCAAAAAAAAAAAAATCCTATTCACAATCTAAAAATAGATAAAAGAAAACACATTTGCCACAATCGTCAAACACTTTCTATCAGAGCAACGATTTGCATACAAATATTCAGTAAAATTATATGGGCGAGGTAAAGGGTAATGCGAAGTTCATTGACCTTTCGTTACCCCAGCGATATTCTGGAACGCGGCAACTAGAATCTTGATAATTTCCGAAGCCATATATTTTTGAGATTACACACGATACGCCAGTGGGTAATTTATCAGTACATAATAGGCGTATAATGTAGGTACATAATGTTTTTTGAGTTCTTAGTCATAATTCGTTAGTTATAAGTCTAGTTTGTTAATGAATGTGTGACTAGTTGCTTTCAACTAGCCTGTCTGGAAGTCATTAGGCGATGCCTATGTTCAGCTGTGGACGTCTTCTGGCTGATATGCTGATGATATGTTGATAAATTACTTATTGGTAAGGTTATGTAAAAGTATTACTGGGTTTTAAAAATTCTCTGTAGTAGCACGGAGTCTGGAATTGTGCCCGGTATATGGCAATAGGCTCACCCCCATTACACGGGACTCATAACATAAATAGTGAAAAGTGGGTGTTACGTGATGTTATGTTATGTATGTAAATGTGACTGTTGAGTGTATAAGTAGTCCGTTCATTTCCTTGGTGTGTACGTCTGTTTGTTAGTTTTATGGAATTTAGGAATCTGGAGAGTTATATACCTTAAAATAATCATGATTGAACTAATAAATAACATTTCGGAGAAACACCGTCTATAAATACACACTGCCTTCATCACGTGGGCAGTTATATTTTGAGACATATTTGAAACGAATACTACGTACTACTACCATTTTATTTCCAGACTGTTATTCTTAATGTAATTGCCGAAATTGACTCTTACAGAACTTAGCTCCTCCATGTCCCTCCACATAAGAACAATCAACTCTTATGTAATCGATTAATTATTATTACAAATGTGATATACAAAAAAACTACGTCTACTACTTTTTTTAGTCAGTAACATAAATGAAATAATCGTTAATTATTTAATTGAAGGTACAGGCTCGGCCTAGTTTAGATGTTAGTATTCATAAACTGTGTGTCTAATGTTTTTTGTTACAATAAACACTTTTAATTTATTTATTTATTATTTAATATTGGTTTAGGCGGCAAGCATGGCGTCGGCCGCGAGCGAAAGCCGTAAGATCCTTCAAACTCAAGAGAGCAACACAAGAACTATCAACCATCCCATGGCACTACGCAAGCGGTTACGACCTCCTCGGCAACCCAGACCTGCACGTAGACTCCCACAGGTAACATGACCCAAAGAAAAGCAAACTTAATGTCAATTTAACTATATCTCTTATTAGCTGACCCGGCAAGCTACCAATTTCTTTTCTCTCCTTTCAAACGTTCCCTTGACTTCCATGAACATTTTATAACTAACAAAATTATTTATTTATTAATAATAAAGGTACATGGTATGCCTTATATTCTAACGCCATGTCCAACAAAACTATATATAAATAGTTTGACTGTTGGATCTTCTATATTTAAATTACTATTTATTATGATAATGGTTATGATTAATTTTAAATACATATAGCGAAATCGGTTCAGCGGTTCTCGAGTTTTAGCGAGAATAACGAACGGAAATTCACTAATATAACACTAGTATTATCTCCTGTGTCATAGTTTTACAAATATACAATTTACAACACTCAGACTCAAAGCAATAACTTATGAATTCGAATTAGCGATGTTACAAAGCAGTCGCTGCACAAACCTTGCTAATTATCAGTTAAATTTTTAGACAAAGTTAGTGTATTTTAAATTAAATAAATTGTTACAAAATTACGACCTGTACTGAGCTGTTCAAGTAATATCTACCTCTAAATCAAGTTTTGTGAAATGATAACATTTTGTAATACTTTCGATTTATTAAGTGTTATTAATTAAAAATGTATGTATAGTAAATCATGGTAATGAGAAAAGCGGGACGTGTTACATTTTATTTATTACATTGTAACCAAAAAAGTGCTGGAATTACGTGTTCCCCATACACCGACACAAGTGAACTCATGGGAAACATGTCATGATAACATTTCTAAACCGACGCTAAAGAAGACTTTACATTCTCCTTCAGACATTAATTCAATATCTCGCCTTGTAAATATAAATAACGTACGTAAAACAAATTTAAAATGTAATTAGATATTCATATTCTTCAGAGTTCTTTGAAATATTTAAAATATGCTCTTAACAGACATTAATATTTTAAGCTTACATCTTTACAAAGATTATTTATAATTGTGTTATGTGTAAGTACTTTTATTTACAAAGTCATGTAATTTGAATTTTGAAGTCTGTTTTTCTACATAAAAAATTCTTTCAACGAACTTGATAGAGTTAATTGTTACACACATGAACCCTAAACTGTTAAACTACAAGAGAATTCCAACTTTATTAACACACCATACAGTTGAAATCCACAATCCATAAGAAAGTATACGTATAAGTTCTTGTTTAATTGGATAGAAAAATTTGACATACACGTCAACCTCCCTAAATTGGTTTAAACTTTATCAGAAAGTCATAAGGTTGAAAACTACATCATAAACCCTTGTTCTAGGCTCTTATAATTGGTGTCAGAAAATGCGGTACCCGAGCGTTACTGGAGATGCTGTACCTCCATCCGATGGTACAGAAAGCGTCAGGAGAAGTGCACTTCTTTGATAGAGATGAGAACTACGCGTTAGGACTAGAGTGGTACCGAAGTAAAATGCCGCTGTCCTTCAAAGGGCAGATCACGATAGAAAAGAGTCCGAGCTACTTCGTCACTCCTGAGGTAAGGAATTAGTTGTTAGTTTTGTATGTCATTGAACTTAGTAATGGACATGTGATTAATTTTAGTCTTTCTTTGCTGCGTTTTCATTCAAGTCGTTATATTTTTATGCCCTGTATTCTCAATTTTAATCTAAAAACGATACAATTTTTTGCATTGAAAAGAATAGAAGAGAAAGAAGAAAGATAATAAATAACAAAAGAACGTCTCAGCGTCATTTTAGTGTCAATAAGTTCTTCGACTAAAATAATTAAACTCAATTTCTCCCCAAAGGTACCAGAACGTGTTCGAGCAATGAACTCCTCAGTCCGATTACTGCTCATAGTCCGGGAGCCAGTAACGCGCGCGATATCTGACTACACTCAACTGCGCAGTCGCGCTACACCGTCTGCGCCGGCACACCCACAGATAGCAGCACACCCTATAACTGACGCTGCAAAGCCTTTTGAACATCTTGCTATATCACCCGATGGTTCTATTAATATAGCCTACAGGTAAGGAAAATCTTAGCAATGTATTTTCATATTCCATTTTCAACTAAATTGTCTTGATATTAAGGCGAAAATCCAATGAAAAGCAGATTGGCATAGGTTGACGTACTAGCGTATATTATTCTAGTTTAGTAATGTGTCGTCTTGTATTTCATCTACACGATTTCGAACCTTAACATTGAAGACATACATCACAGTTTCGAAAGGTGCAATAAAGCTACTAAATTTTATTATAACACTGTCAATTTGTCCGTAACAGGCCAATAGCAATATCTCTGTACCACGCATACCTGCATCGATGGCTGGAAGTGTTCCCTCGGGAACAGATACTGGTAGTGAACGGCGATCTGCTGATTGAAGATCCGGTGCCGCAGCTCCGACGCATCGAGAAGTTCCTTGGACTGGAACATAAGATTGGTAAGTCATAATAACTCTTCAAAAATAGCTGCTTTTATCTGAAAAGACTAATAAGGTAAAGATTTTCTAGTGGTTATTAAAACTATATTTGTCTGAACGTCTATTTCTTCTCAAAACAGGAAGAAAGAATTTCTACTTCAACGAAACGAAAGGTTTCTACTGCCTTCGAAATGACACCACAGACAAATGTCTGCGAGAAACAAAGGGACGCAAACATCCCCGGGTCGACCCTGCAGTTGTCACCAAATTAAGAAAGTTCTTCATTCAACACAATCAGAGGTTTTACGACCTCATTGGTGAAGATCTTGGCTGGCCAGAAGATTAGGAAACTAAGGATAAATGGCCTGTGGCCCAATAACTTGTTGTGATCAACATACATATCATATGTCTCGGATACATATCACTAGCTGTAAATTTTTTAAAATCATTTATGTATACATCTAGAATAACATAGAATAAGAAACCCGAAGAGAAATTTTATTTATATCTAGCAACATTTTATTATTAAACATTTTAAATTTTATAACGATTCTAGTCAATGGTTTCCTTGTTTTTTCGGTTGACTGTTATCTAATGTAAGTTTGAGTGAAAGTGACGTCTAAAGTATGGGAACAACACGATGTACTGGTTACGTGGCATTCATTAATTTTCACATCATTATTTAGTAAACAAATTAAAACTAGATTTTCCACAGGCATTTTTTAAGCACTGATTTGATAGACCGACGCACTGAAATCCTGAGCAATATATTTTTATATATAATTAAGTATTGTATTAATTATACAGCGTTTATTATACAGGATGTGAATTTTTTAAATGTTTGTGATAATTTCATTTGTTAGATTTAATGAATTTTATATAGATGTAAGTAAGGAACTATGTGTAACTATACTATATAATTATTACGTTCAAAGTGAATGAATGTTGTATATTTCCGCTTAATATTTTAGGTGTCGTAATTTCTGGTCGTGCGTTGTCCTATATGTGTTTTATTTATTAGTGAATGTGACTTTTCCAAATCTTAGATACTTAATACTACTTATATTCAATAAACTTCAGCAGAAGAAGATTAAATTGTAGTTGAAAAATATAAAAGTTATACTTATACATGAAAATTCTGGAATATTCTACAGTTCTATGTGTTTAGCTTGTAGTGAGGTCAATGAGGTCTTTGGTGTGTTTTTACATGGCGCCATGGACTATGTTTCCACGCAGTATCTTTTTAATTTTCAAGTTTTGGAGAGATATAAATTCGACGCGGGTTTAGAAGTATTCTATTTAAGTGTAACGTCCAAGACTGAAGAGTTAGTTGAATAAGTCTTAAGTAATACCTATTTAGCATAAAATGTCCATAGGTAATACGTCAGACGGTGAGCCCTGAACACAGCTTATGAAGCTTCGAGTATCTCGTGGTATGTGAAACACATAACTTATTTGCGTAACGACAGCAACTCGTGCCCATAAAACAGTAAAGAAATAAATAAATTTTCCATTTAGTTTATAATTAAGGGCAATTTGAATATAACCTACCCCTAATTATAAGGAAATGTGAAACTTTGCTTCGTTTGCACGAAAATCTAACAAATTATATGATATTTGTGAAGTTTTGACTTAATTTGATTGTTTTATACGAATTCTATTTAACTTTTATGCAAAGTGATAAAATCTGTTTAGACGTCAATCTGATACAGCATATAAAAGGCATACGACCATTGCGATATTCAGATTGATATAAAGTTTCGTAGCCAATCGCGTAGCATGACGCTACGCCGTAGCTTTCTACGTAGCATACCGCGATAAGATGCAAACTCTTCAATATATGTATTCAGTTACATGACAACGTCATCAGACTAAACTACAGTACAAATATAACATAAATAGAAACAAAATTGAAAACGATAAATCATACATTTCAATAGAACGCAGTTTAATTAACAAACTGTCGATAAACTGCTTTGATAAAACGTAAATACTGGTTTGTTCATAGGGATATATTACTTGAAATGAGAATACGCGTGATAAAGATCGTATAAACGTACAATTCCAATACAGTTCGATTTGAATCACAATCATAGGTATTGTTATTATCAAACAGACCTATTGGCTCCGACTTATTTGCATAACTAAGCACTTTTAAACAAGCTTTGATGCGATAAATACTCGATATAAAAAATCATAATATTATGCCAGTTTCCACATTATCAAATCACCAAATGGTATTTACGAAAAATATAGTGAAAATACTTTACTTAATCAACTCAGTCACAGCTCTGTCGAACCAATTACTAGAGGATATTTCTCGAGTGCCGAGTGGTTAAATGTATAACTGATTTATATGTCATGTTTAAAACTAGACAACAAATAGGACTCCATACAATAATACAATATTGATTCCTTGACAAACAAAGTGTTCTATGATTTTGTATAGTTCAATAAAAACTTAAATAAAACTATTACTAAATTAAATACATATATACAACAAAAGATAAAAATTAATTAAAACAAAACTAAAAACAGCATCATCGAAAATTTCGTCCGCATCGACGTCAGTGGGGACAGTACACAGAAGGCTGGCAGCAGTGCCACGTTGTATGGCAATGCTTAACCTCTGACCGAGAAAAAGACCAGCCTGGTCACGAGATGCGTCGATCAGGCGTTTCAAATGTATGAAGTGTTCTTAATTTTTATATCGAAAAACAATAAGCGTTTGTTGGCAAAAATATCTACTATATAAAAATAAGTTCGGTTTTCCTTCCTGACGCTATAACTCCAGACCGCACGTACTGATTTTCACAGTTTTGTATTCGTTGGATCTTTCACGGAGCCCGAGACCTTTCTCGGGCTCCGTGAGGTTTATAGCGAAGAAAATTCAGGAAAACATTTTTCTTCATCTTTTAATTACCAAACGAAATGTTACATAAAACGATGCCATCTGGTGGCGAAACGGAGTTCGCCAGGTTTGCTAGTTTTTAATAAAATTTGACTAAACTCATGTGTTTCACATTTCACAAGAGAATAACTCGAGGCTTGCAAGGCGGAACACCTACCCGCAACGTTGAATCGGATAGAGGCAATCGGTGTAAGGGTGAAATTATTTTTAAGTAGAATATTTGCTTCCAAAATCCAGAATCAACGAATATTTATATGTTTTTATTGTCCCTTTTATTGGCGCATTTACGAGAAAATTCGTAATAATAATAATATTTCAGTAAACTATTAAAATTAATGTATTTACAAAGGAATTTAATAAGCACTCGCTGCGTATTTTATGTCGATGCGTTGAAGTTACTTCAAGTGTAGTCTTCATAAACTAGAAATTATTAGAAAAAAATACGTACAAATATCATTAAAATAAAAAAAACGATAACAGTGTTCATATTTTTCACAACTAAATATAATAGAAAGCGTTGTAAATAAAAATTGTATCCAATTACAAATTCTGTTGTCAACTATACTTGAAGAACTTCAACGACTAGAATAAAACAAGAATATCAAACATATCAAAAAAATTTCAATAAGTTTAACATAAGATCTATATTAAGTTAATCTTTTAACTAAAATAAATAAGAATCTTTATTTGTTTAGGTAATTCACTAGTTGATAGATAAATTTAATCACTGTTAAATGTTGTGCACGTTCATAAGACGTAGTTGAAATTTGATTAGGGCAATAATTTTTATAGTTATTAATATATATTATTTAGGAAAACAATACAAAATGTCTAAAGATCTATTATTTATAAAACTACAAATCGTTACTATGATTACAAGTCTATTTTGTCGCTTCGTTTCATTTCTACTTGCGATTTAGTTTACAATGTTATTTTCTTAAATTATTTTACGAGTTTGTCACCGACATTTTAAGAGTATTAACTAAATTTTAAATGTTACCTTAACACCTTGTAAATATCTTCTAAATCTCCCTTCTGTAAGTTATATCGTACCTACATCTTCAATAAATAAAATATGAAACATATGTTTTTGATTTCATTTTTTTCCCTTCAACATGATACCCAATACTGGTGACTTCTATGGTTATTGTCTTTTAATCGTTTTTGTCTTCTAATCTCCACGATTTAGACTTCGACTTATGATTGTTGAAGGAGGTTTGTTACTGTTACACACCTAAACGGCTAAATAAATTTAAAATAAAATTCGACACACGAATATGATCTGTAATATTTTTTTTGAGGGGATTAATTCATCCAATTTCTTCCACCGCTTTGAGTAAGGCGAGAGGGAGTGTCAGACTCTTACTGAATAAAAACCACCCCGTTCCTACTTGTGTTCCTGGAGACGGAGTCCCGGCTACCGGCCCTCCGCGACTCCGTATCGGCATCAGCCCTACTGGGCCCCATCTGTTATGATCTGATGGCTCTTTGAGGTGAAATAATACATAGCATAGGTGTCTACAGGAACGCCGGGTGAAATCTAGTACTAAATAAATACTAAGACCTTAGACAACGAAGTTCCACAGACACATAATCAGATCGTTTAATCATCGCCCCTACCTTACATCAGAGACAAGTAACATAACATATAAAAGAATCTATACATCTATCTATACACTATATAGAAGTATCCATCTTCCATAATGAACCGCGTAAAACTGCAGAGTCATGTGTGACAAACAAACACACGGTTTCACCCTCATACGTACGTGGGTAACATCGTGTCTATGTGTTTATAACGATACCACGTTATATTATGGAAGGAACTGAATTGAATATAACTATGTTTTGGTATAGTGGTACATAATTTATAGTGGTTCACCGTGCTATTACTATTACTGGTGGTAATTTGAAAATTATTTCTTGAAATGAGGCTTCATTCTTGTTACTATAATTAAATAAGTGGTGTATGTACGAGATTCATGACTCTAGATTGATAACAAAAAGTCTATAAATCATAATATAACATCACGCCTTTTATCCCCGAGGGGGTAGGCAGAGGTGCACATTTTATGGCACTTAATGCCACTGTAGGTATAATATAACAACCAATTTTCACTATTCATGTTATGAGTCCCATGGAATAGGGGGTGAGCCTATTGCCATATACCGGGCATATTTTCAGACTTCGTGCTACTACTGAGAATTTAAAACACGACACGGGAGTCGAACCCGAGACCCCTTACCCGGGTAGTCCCACTTGCGACCACTCGGCCAACGAAGCAGATAAAAATATGATAGATAAATTAAAATAGAGTAATTTCAACATAATATGTATTACGAAATGCGTATTATATATTGAAACAAAACGTTTAAAGAAGGTTATCTCTCCAAAGATTTCTAGATTACAATGATAATTTGCATTGTGAAAAATGAAAGAAGAAGAAAGAAAAGAAAGAAAAACCATTTATTCTTGCGCAGAACACACATAACATAATTAAAAAATAAAAATAAAATATAAGCTAAAAAATGAAGTCTTGTCCATGACTTATTATGACTCTCAAATGATACGACAACTTCTATTCTTAATATTACACCATAGAAGTACACTAACACTAAGTAAACCAATCTAAAACACGTCACTGAATGGTCTAACCAATCGGCTGTTTTCAAGACAAGCAGAAACGAACGAGCAAACTCACAGGGGAAATTTATATATATCTAAGAAAAGTAAACGTCGAAGTTGTAGTGAGGTATTCCAATATGACGGGTTGACGCAGTGGCTGATTGGTTCCTACGCCACTCGTACCGATGAAGCCAATATATCACTATATGGTAAACTATATACTTTCTTTTCAAATGTGTGTCAAAGAAAATGAAGGGTAAGCTTAAGATGCATAGTTATACATATACAGTAGATGGAAATAGTAATAAATGACTAGTTATAAATTTTTGAAAACCGATGTGAAACAACGCTTGTGTTGTGTTTCGTCGTGTAAATGAGTTTATCGGAGGCCCAATTACCCCCCCTCCCCAGTCTCCCCAATCCCCGAATACCCAACGATCCTCAAACTTCTAATCCCCAAAAGGCCGGTAACGCACTTGTAACGCCTCTGGTGTTCCAGGAGTCCATAGGCGACGCCGATTGTTTACCATCAGGTGATCCGTCTGCTCGTTTAGCGGCTTATGCCATAAAAAATGGAAATGGCTATAAGTAGTATAAATAGTCATATCTTGTTAATGCAATTTGTAATCTCACATACTAAATTATAGTGATTCTATTAGAACATTCTATTCAGCCATATTCAGATATATAAAACTGTACAAAACTATTCTCACCGCACATTTATTAACAAAATCTTTTTCCCGGCTAATATAAATCAAGGAGAAACACGTCTGAAATAACGTAGTGTCTAGCAACACACATAAATTTTTCTTGACCCTAAAATTGCTAGTCTGGGCAACGACCAGCATCAATCACAGGTCCAACCCTCGCTGCTAAGGCAAATAAAAGCGCTAACCAATTGATATTTTACCACATAAAAAATATCCAACCTTCTTGATACAGCTTCGTAAATAAATAGCTTTAAGCAACTACCATTAGTTTCTTTTTTAAGTACCCTCGGGCAAAGTGGAGCTACAATAATATTAGACCATTTCTAGAAAATACAAAGCTAATCAAAATTTACTAGACCGTGACAGTTTGTTGACTTTCGTAATATTGTTTGTAAATATTTAACAAAATAGTTGATTATAAAGTCTGGAGAGAGGAACTCGGTGGCTAAGCTAAGCAACAAGAGTCTGGTTCTGTTTATGACTTTCTAAAAAGTTCTAGACAGTGTCGCGGCACTATAGTTGATTAAAAATGAAGTGACAAAATATCTATCTACACTGCTTCGTTGGCCGTGTAGATAGATAGGGTCGGGCAAAGTACTACAAGGTCTTTAAAAAAATGTCGGATAGTAGCACGGGGTCTGGAATTGTGCCCAGTATATGGCAATAGGCTCACCCCCTATTACATGAGACTCATAACATAAATAGTGAAAAGTGGTTGTTACATTGTACAGTGGCATTAAGTGCCGTAATGTGCACCTCTGCCTACCCCTTCGGGGATAAAAAGGCGTGATGTTATGTATCTATCTACATTTTATAAAGATAACAACAGAATGCAAATACACATAATTTATATCATGAAGTCCAACTGGTTGAATTTTTTTTCCTGCGGCAAGCTTGATTATCATTATATAGGTTAGTCAGATATTAATACAATAGCACTAATTGGATAA